GTTGAACCACTGTCTAGGAAGGCGTATGTAGTGTATTGTCCCGAAGAGCTTTTGATCTTCACAGCCACCAACGGCAGCATAGCACCCCTTTTGAGTTCGTCTGCTGCGACACGGCAAGTGGTCGCATTGGCTGTGTTTGTATCCTCTGGCAAAGGCGGCTGTTTAAGCAGCGTTTGCCGATCTTCTAAAGTGCGATCATGCAGCGCCGTCGGATGATTTCGGTTACATAGCTGGCAGCTCACTGGTCTGCGACAAAATGAACGTCTATGGCCTCTACGGAGGCACCCAAAGCATAAAGCATTTTTCATCACAAATTGTTTTCTCTCTTCAAATGGGACGCTGTTCAGCCTGTTACACTCCGTAACATTATGCGTTTTCTCCCCCGCAAAACAGACACCCGCTGTCATTCTGAGACTGGGTGCGCGTTGCCGCAACTAAAGGTTTCTGATAACTTTGGGAAAATAATTCCCCTTCGTTCTGCTTTGCACTTGCTCCTTCACGGCTGCTATACATATGTTGTCCAAACGAAGCGTTTGTGGCTATTCTGGCTTCTCGTGCTACAAATTCAACCAGGTCTTCGAAGACTGCTGGCCGCCCCTGATACTCTTCCAAATCGTCTACACGACGTCGCCATCTACTCAGGAGTGGTACCAGTAGCTTCCTTGTAATAGTACGCAGGGTTCGAGGATCATTCATGAAGCTGCACGAGCTTCCTAGTGCATTCTTACAACTGAGGAGCAACAACGAGAACTGGTCCAGCTCTTCTCCATTTTCTGCATTGAGCTGTTCCTGGCTACTTATTCTATCAATAAAGGCAGCTGCGATTGTGCTAGGCTGGCCATACCTCTTGTGCAAAATCTGCATCGCATGTTGATACCCGTCTTCAAGATACATGCAGCTCTCAACAATACTGTGCGGCTTACTTCCCGGAATTATGTTTTGTTCCAGGTAATATAACTTTTCACTGTCATCATCCAATTTAGAAGCGATCTTCATTTCGAAACATCGAATAAACTGAGCGAACTGAGTGGTATCACCCCCAAATTTCTTGATTTCGATCGGAGGCAGACGCATCAACGCTGCCGTCCTTTCTCTTTCGGTTATTAAAGCAGCAGATGTGCCTTCATGAGCGCGGCGACTAAACGCGGGTGGTGCTTGCTGAGATATATCCGGCCGCAAGTTTGGGACGTACTGGAGTGTAGGGTTAGCGTGAGAGTGAGAGATGCGAGTGGTTTCCGTCTCATGTGAGGGTAACGAATGAAAGCTCGCTGGTAATGGGCTTACATCATCATCATTTCTATACGTCTTTAACGCCTGCTCTCTAGCAGTTAATTCATTTAAGGTCGCCTGAATTTCCAGCAGCTCCTGTCCACGTCTAAGTTCAGCATTTGACTCTCAATGAGCTGTTTTTCTTTTAAGGACTTTAATCTTTCGATGAGAGCGGCTCTATCGGCTGCCTCCTCTGCGCGCCTTAACTCAGACTTAACATTGGAAGGAGACACAGAAGCAGACGGGGACTCAACACGGGACACACTGTCATCGGGATGAACTGCACTATTTTCCAAACATGGCTCGGCATCTAACGTATTCCGCGCTCCTAGCACATTTACCAATCTATTTACAAGCGTGGCCTTGTTTCCTTTACAGCTAAGACCGCGTGCCTTCAGCATCATTTTAAGTTCAGACACTTTCAAATTCTCCATTGTCTCGTAACGGTACGCTAAGAACTAGGGTGAAGCACAGGCCAACGGGTGTCCAAGTTATGCAGTTGATGCCGTTGATTTAGTTGCCAGGGATTATAATTGCTGTGTAGACCTTACCTCGATAGCAGGTTTGACAACTTTTGTATGAATTCGAATTAGCAATAGCAGCGTGCTATTAATCTTCTTGACAATTCTTCAAACAATTCTTCTTGACGGAACAACACCAGGCTCAAATAATATCGGGAGTAATGATAGCTTCAATGTAGACTCAGCTGAGCCTAAAACTGTGAATATTCGACTTTCAGTTCTTGATAACATTTATTCTTGCATTGCACTATTGTTGATATAGACACCTCGAAACTGTTAGTGCCTGTTGGCATCAAATGGCTTTGGTGATTCGATACGATATCAACTTAATCGTAATTTAACATGTATTTAACCTCGCAAGTGATTTCCATGTCAATACACCGTCATGATTTACTAATCACTTTTCATTTCGTTTCGTTATTCTTCTGATTTCTTCGTTTTACTTCGCGGTTCTTAGTGTTTCTTCCTTCTTCTATTTGTTTCGTTTCCTATATTATATTTATCGTTTCGAGGTTTGCCATTCAAGCCATTCAAAATTTTCTTTCTTTCTTTTTGTCTCTCGAGTCTACCTAAATTCGTTAAACTTGTCATTTAAATTTTCACGAGCGGTTATCGCTGCAAAGCCGTCGGGTCCTGGATTTATGCAATTGTGACTCTTGGTTTTGCTGCAACAACAGGTCAGGTTGCATATCAGTCGATCCGTATCGTCGAGCTGAATAATCTAGCGTGTTTTCATCGCTCTAGCACGTCTTTATCAAAAGCTATAGCCAAAAACTGCTGGTGACCGTTCATGACCTGAGGTGACCTCAGGGGCACAGAGGGGTCACAGGTGCATTTTTCCGGTTCAGTGTGTCATGTTTACCTATGAACCAATGTTTGAGAGGGTTTTGAACATCATTCGTCCAAAGAGGCGCATTTCAATTTCTCCTATTGACTTAGGTATAGGTAATGGAGAGGTCGCAAAATTGACTTGGCCTTAGGTCACCGATATCAAAATTACGAGATATAGGTACATTTTGTACATACTGTTACTCTTATCAATCGCTGTGGGTTTCAAGGCGATCGTTCAGTCGGTGTAGCTATGACGATGATTGAAACTTTTTCTGAGATGAGGTCACTTAAACCTGACCTGGTGACCTGACCTTCAGAGCCCTGGGTCTGAAATTTTCACAACATGTGTGGAAAAGATGCATGAACAGGTGTGCCAAAAACCACGGGGGGGGGGTGTTCAAACAACCCCCCCCCACCCCGGCCAGGCGCGGGTTAAAATATGTCATGCTGATGTTCCACGCCCACACCTTATTGACATACACGGTCGAAGACGCTTATCCTGTATCTATTTCAATAGCAATAGATAAGAGATAAGCAATAGATAGGGACTAAGGAGCTCTTGAAGCCATTCTCAATCTGCCGTTGTATTTGTTGATGTTGCTGACGCCAACTTCACTGATGATAGCTCAAAAAAGCATATTCAATAACTCAAACTCAGCATCGCCAAAAGTGGGGGGTCAACCCCTCCGTTTAGACAGTGGGGGGTGGCGAACCCGGGACCCCCCCCGTCAGCGACGCCCCTGCCGCTATCGAATCAGAGCCTATTTTAGGGAATTTGACTGGGGGGCAGCCTGGAAAATTGTCTTTAATAATCCATTAACCCTCGCCCGTATGGTGTTTCCAGTAGCGAGCGTACAGGGGGGGGGGGGGTCCGTTGGACCCTCCCCCTTGCCGTTTCGCCCCTGATCGAGCTAGAGCTTCGCGGAAAAAACGACCGTGTTGCCCGTGATGAAAGGAAGCCGATTATACCCAATTTTAAGGTCCTAGGTCATCGGTGACCTTCCAGGTCAGGTCATTGGCCCAAAAGTCGGGAAAATCGGGACCTGTTAGAGCGTCGTAAAGAGTGGCTGCTATGGTTTTTCGGGGTGCTGATACGAATATCATGTTATTATGATCATAGATGATGTCTTCATGCATTTAGGCCAGGTCAGGTCAGGTCAGGTCAACCAGTAAGGGTTATGCCGGGTATTCGTAGTAGGTGGCAACCGCCTCTGACAGCTTCGTTACATGTTACGAAGGCACCAAAACTATTTCGTAAATGGTCAAATGGTTGCTTAATTCGAATTCAGCTCCAAAAACTAGCCTAGAAAACATATAAAACTCGAAAATGTGAACCGAGGTCATCAAAGGTAAATGATCTGACCTGACCTTCCGGTGATCTTGACAGTTGACACCCACCCTAATGCATAGGAGCAACATCATATCCCATGTTTGAACGTTTGAAACCACGAAAAGACTGCAAACGCGCGGCTAATGCGAGGCGACATACGCCGAATCGCGACCCTCGGCCAAACATGGTGCCATGGTGCTAGGCCGCCGGTGCATCTGAAAGAACTGTGGTGCCCCTGACAAGCCTGAAGTTCCAACGACAGGCCCGTGGTGCCCCTGACAGGCCCATGATGCCTTTGCGAGGCCGGTGGTGTCCACGTGAGGCCGGTGGTGCCCCTGGGCCCTGACAGGACTGTGGTGCTCCTGACAAGCCTGGAGTGTCCCCGACAGGTCCGTGGCGCCCTTGCTAGGCCTATGGTGCCTCTGGCAGGCCTATGGTGCCCCTGGCGGGCCTGTGGTGGTACCCCTGACAGGCCAAGGTGGTGCCCCTGCGAGGCCGGTGGGGCCCCTGGCAGGTCTGCGGTGCCCCTGGCAGATCTATGGTGCTCTTCAGACCTGTCTTGCTAGGTTGATGGTGCTCCCAACAGGCCTGTGGTGCCCCTGACAGGCCGGTGGTGCCCCTGGCAGGCCTGTGGTGTCCCCGAGCCCCAAGAGGGTGGGGGGTCATGACCCATATGACCCACCCTTAGATACACCACTACTGGTCATTACTTACAGACTGACTCATTTGACATCCATTGCAAAACAAGTCACAGTAGTTACGTAGTATGTTTGTCACCCTGTTCCTTTATGCCCATTTTTATAGTGGGCAAATCTCGACGACTAGGGGGCAATTCTGTTGAGTGCGGGGGCATTTGCCCCCCCAGTTAACATGTTAAAATAGGCCCTGTATCGAATGGTGAAGGTTTCATCGAAATTGGTGCGAATGTTTCGGAGCATGGGCTCATGTCAGTCTGCTCTTCTCGTCTGCTTTTTAGACTCCCCCGAATATAATGATTGGCAGTCGAATAGTGTTCGTATTTTCTATCAACCTTGATTAGTATTTGAAATACATTTGTGGCGCTACCCGGCATTTCCGGCATTCGCTGTTGAGTGCAAGGCCCTATATACGGCTAGGCATATGGTATCGCCATTTTTATTTTTATGATCAAGTTCCGGGGAATATTGACTGGATTGATTACTTTCGCTTTTTGTTTTTTTTTTTCAGACCATCTTGACTTGCCGTTGCCAGTGTACTGAGTGTCCCCACACTGATAGTGATAGGTTTTGGTTAAAATTGTCATGTTTTGGTTTTACTGTCCTTGCTTGAGAGTACAATTATAAAATTATTAATTGAGCTGATATATACAGACAGTGGGATTGTATCAAGGCTATATAAACCAGGTAGAACGCTCCGGGAAAAAAGTTGGAAACAATAAATTAGTTGCGGCATTCCCTGATGACGCGAATGTGGGTCAGCGGCCGGCCGCCGGCCGCCGCTAACACTGTATGAGGAGGGATGCGCGGAACTTTTGCTTGTTGGTGATTGCGCTAGGCAGTTAAATGGTAATGTTAGGATATGTTTCGAAAGTAAATTGAACGACGCGTCGAACGCCGTAAATGAATTTGCGATACGACGACTATTTGTTTAGTTAGAGCCGGCGAACTTTTACCTTCCGACCGCGCGCGGAGGCGATATGGTGCCACACTGGCGGTTTATACGATAGCTCAAAATTCTTTTGAGATAAAGAGATGAAATTTGACATGTCCTATCTTTTGATCAAGCTGGATCTTATGGTACAAGTCGCATATTTAAGGTAAGTCAGGTTGTTGACCTATGTTGTCGCTCGTGAGCCTCTGCACAGTCCAAAAACAACGCAATTTCTGAACACTCAGTGCCAAGAAATCCTTCACAGAAAGATGACACTTGGCAGAAAGAAGAGTTGTCGGTTTCTTACCGTTCGTATGTGTCGTGTTTTCACAAGAGTTTAGTAAGCTCAGGTCAGTCACGTGACCTCCCCTCATAACTCAATAGGTTTACTATCATAGAAGCGTTTATCAATCGCCGGAAATCTTAGCCAATCCCACTGGACACTGGATCCATACCCACATGGGGCCCTCGTGACTGGCCACTCCCTCTGAAATCCACAATATCATTGGGCTGCGGCCACGGTTATGTATTAATGCTTTTCACTAACAGAAATACAACTTCAACCAGCACAGTGCACGCCGCCACAACAGTCCGACCCACGTCCCTGATATCGACTAGCTCCCGGCCGGATGCACATACGCGGAGCCAATCAGTCCGAATGTGACCTGCAGCTTACAATTGCTGTGTCGCATGGCGCATGGCACAGGACGATTCCTAGCAGCTGTCGGCTGGAGTGGAGAAACAGCACGTTGCGACACACCACGCCGGCGACAGAGCTCAGCAGGGCTGGTTGAAGGCTGGAGCCGGAGGTAAGGGCGGACACAGGCACAAACATTGCAGGACAAATAACAGGATGTCAGTTAGGGATATAATTCAAGACGAATGATTCAAGACGGACTGAAATAATACACATTTTGCTCACTTGGATACCAACTTCAAACTTGACGTTTATGTATAGCACCAAGGAAACAATGGACACACAGGAAAGAAACAAAAGATCAGAGGTGGGCATCGCTACCGAAATTTGGAAACCGCTACCGCTACCTTCCGCAACCTAAGGTACCCAAAGCGCAATCGCAACTCCGAAACTATTTTGCAGATCGTAAAACCGCAACTCACAACTCCGCAACTCCGCAACTCCGCTACCAACCTCTATTAGGTTCCTATGTTTTATCAGTTTTAGTCCTGAAGTGCAGTGTTATGTCTGACAGGTAGTACCTTGGTTGACCTCTGTTGGTGACCTGACTGTTGGTGACCTTTGATGACGCCACGTGACCTATAATGCTCAATGCGCAAGTCATTGCGACACCAGTCGACGTAAATGACCTGCCAGTGCTACTCTTTGCATGTTTTAATTGTTTGGGATCATTTTGCCGCAAATCCGGACGAGTCGTATTTTCTCCCATTGACTTATAATGGAGAGGTCACACAGTTGACCTTACCTTAAGTCACAAATATAAAAAAATATGAGACAATACACTTTGTACCTATATCTTGTTACCCTTGTCACATGCAGACAGTTTCAAAGTGATCGGTCAATAGGTGTATCTGTATTGCTATATTGCCCTGTATTACTAGGGCGGGTGTTTAATTTTTTTCGGAGATTGGGTCCCTTGACTTGACCTGGTGACCTGACCTGAGGTGACCTGGGTCTGACATGTTGATACAATGTGTGGAAAGGATGTGTTAATAGCAGTGTCGAAAACAGCCCCGCTGCCGCCGCCTTTTTTATATATTTGCGGAAAACCTTACGGAGGGGTGTCCAAACACCCCCCCCCCCCCGCCCCCGGCCCCGTGCTGGCGACCATAAAATTTGACTTAACCCTCGCTGTGTGCGGTGTTTTACAGCGTCTAACGTGTACGTCGGTTGGACCCCCTCCCCCCTGCCGTTCGGCCCCTGATCGAGCTAGAGCTTCGCGGGGAAAAAAACGAGCGTGTTGCCCGTGACGAGAGGAAGCCGATGATACCCAATTTTAAGGTCATAGGTCATTGGTTGACCTTCCAGGCCAGGTCAATGACCCAAAAGTCGGGAAAATCGAACCTGCTAGAACTTCGTAAAGTGAAGCTTTTATGCTTCTTTTTTTTGGGGGGGGGGGGGGGCGCTGATAACAAATTTCATGTTAGTTTTGATCAAAGAGGACGTCTTCATGCATTTGGGCCTGGTCGGGTCAGGTCAGGTCAGGTCAACCAGTAGGCGTCCTACCGCCTATCCAGTGTCAACCACCACTGAAAGCCTCGTAACATGTTACTAAGGCACTAAAACTACTTCGTAAACGAAATCAGCTTCAAAAACTAGCCTGGAAACACGTGCAGTGTGCAGTGGAGTGCAAAGAGTACAGTGGCGCCCCCACCAGCGGTGGCGGCCCCGGTAGCGGTTGCGCTTTAGAATTTTTCGCTTCCGCAACTCGCAACTCCGCAACTTTTTTGGGCTCGGTAGCCGATCCGTAACTCCGCTACCAAGAGGGTAGTCCGCAAGTTGCGGAGTTGCGGAGTTGCGGACTTAAGTTGCGCAATGCCCAGCTCTGCAAAAGATGAGGGTTTTTTTAACTCAAGGAAGTAAAACAGCCCGAAGTGCAGACAAGCACATACTTTTGGTAATAGCTATCAGCTGTCCTACTCCTCTTATCCCTTCATCAACTACTGGACACATTTGAAGCATCATATATAGCACCAATGTCCATAACCAAAGCTTGCAAGTAGTTTTAACTTCTATGAAGCCAAGGGAAATGTGCCTACATTATGCATGTAAACTCAAAATTACACATGCATGACAAAGGAAGCTTATGTAAAGAGAATAGTTGACAAAAGCATCTCATGGTTAAAATTATTCAAAACTGCACACAGGGCAAACATAAAAAGCAGCAAGTGTACTGTTCTGTTATGCTAAGAAATAGTCCAAAACAAAATACAATCTTTTCATGTTTGAACTGGTTGTTCTTCTATGCCCCTTCATCCATATCTTGATTACAGATGGCTGTTACTGTAGGCTGATGAAGTGACACTTGATTGCCTTTGTGCGAGTTTCAGTTGCAGCCTCCTTGGTACTGCACTGGAAAGCAGATTGAATTGAATGCCTCTGAAAGATAGGAATACAGGCAAAGTTAGCTGTAGTAGTGTCAATGATAATAGACATGATATTTTTGTCCTTTGACATACATTTGTTGAAGTACAAAAAGGTACAAAATAAATTGGTTTGTTTCAAGACACGCACACTGCACAAAGCCGCACAGACATTACACAGGCATATGAAATTGGTACACATAAAAATTGATGATTAAAAAGGTCAAAACTTGCAATAATAATTGAAGTAATAGTTACAATCACAATCATTTGATTTAAAATGACTTGACATAAGTCACAAGACGCAACGCTCCTATTCTTTTATGCTTTCATTATCCTCCACATATCAACCAGCTTGATACCAGGCTGTGCAATAGTGTGTACATAACCCCATGTTGCCATTTTATTAGAGCAATTGGGGTTACAACAACAATGCTAATGTCAAACCCATATCTGCAACCCGTACTGCAGTTTCAATCACCTTACAAGCACACCTTCTGGCAGTTTGATAGGCAGAATGGTCATTACTACTTTCCCCTCATATTCAACACATATTCCCTTTATACAGATACAGTTTAGACCTGGTTATGGCAAGCACTTTCGAGAAAAGATATGATTTAAGTCAAGACAAAGGTCGAGAGAAACAACACCAACATAAAACACCGACTATGTAGCACTAATACTGTCAAATTCATAAAAATATATACATGAGTCGATCAGAAATTCACTGTAGATTTCGAAAATGGTGTCAAATGCCACTCAAATACCCCCATTCGCATGTACGAAGCAATAAAACACTGACCTTCAATTCCGCGTGCCATTCTCCATAGGCCACTGTGTATTAAATAACGCGTTCACTGATAGCAAAAAAAAGAGACCCACATATGACGCGTTTGCTACCAGCCAATCAGCGCTCGAGTTACCGAGCGCTGATTGGTGGAGAGGGCCGTCGTCAGCAGCTAATTACATGTTGTTTTCCTTGAACATGTGCGTGAGCGCTGATGCTGCTCACGGGCTGTTGCCATTTTTCGTAATGCTGAAGGCACGGGAGCGAACCCCCCTGGATTGTATCCAAGGCTATATAAACCAGAGGGCTGTTCACGGACCCTGTGTGCGGTCGGACCGCACACAGCCTCCAAGCTCCGCCCACTGCGTCCCTACGTCAGCCTTGCGTCACCGCACACAGCGACCGCTGTGGCCGGTCGGGACTGGCCACAGCGGACCGTCCACCGCACGCAGCCGTGACGTCAGAGCCGCCTACCCATCCCCTACCCCCACGCCTGCTGGACGTACCGCACACACCGCACGCAGCAGTGTGCGGTGCCCGTGAACACCCCTCAGGTAGAACGTTCCCGACGAAAAAGTGGTGACAAGCGATAATTAGTAGCCGCGACCCTCACTTGTTCAAAACTATATCCGCAAGCAGCATTTAC